TGCATGAAGCAACATGGAATAGGCGACGTTGTTGAGTTGAAATAAAAGGCGCCACCCCCACGCGCACGCCTTTATCCTCCCAACACCTAGTCAAACTGCCCAGGCTAGATTGCATGTGCAAGCTCGCATTCACGCACAGGCAAGAAGGAGCGGCAATGACACGATAAGTTTTTTTTGTAGGAGCGAGCTTTAAATCGACACGAAAGGCTCCACCACCACGTGCTCGCCCTTCGCCACCACCACCTCGTCAAAACCCCCCCCCCACCCCCCCCTTCCCCCTCGTCTGCACATGCTCACGCACAATGCACCGGGGGACAGCAGAATGAGACGATGGGAGCGGACACACGGCGAATTGAGGTAACTGAGAGCAATAAGGTAAAAAACGGAGCAGAGACTTGGGGGTTCTCTTGAGCGTAGTCCTCGATGTGTCATGAGGGAGGCGAGGGAAACGTCGTTAAGAGAGGGGGAAGAGAGCGTCTCCACTCGAGAGCAAACCACTCCTCGGTATCCCTCCAGCAAACCGTTTCCTTGGACTACAAAAGCGCCTCTCCTACCTGTGAATTGCAGCCTGCTTCTTAATAGTATCAAGCAAACCGTTCCCTCGCCTTCCTGCGTAGGTGAGGGTGTACCTCATCCCGCTGCAGAGGTGACTTTTGAGTTGACTCGAAGCCTAACTGCGTATGCGAGAGCGTAGTTGGGACTTGACAATTCTAAAAAACCAACCTACCCGCGTAGGTAAGAGTATAGCTCATCCCGCTGCAGCCGCGCGACTTCACGCCGAGCTTCAGGTACTCCTTGTTCCGCCTCGTCAGCAGATCGCGAATCCGATCCGCCGCGGCGTCCGTCAGCTGAATCACCTGCCGCCGCTGCGCGCGCGGCCGGATCGCTGCCTTTGCGGCGGCAGCGAGAGCCGCGGTCATGACACGAGAGGGAACTGATGCTGTTGTTGTTCTTGTTGTTCCTGCGAGCGAACCTTGGTTTCGTGGCTGACACGAAAACGGCGTGCTACGACAGCGCGTAGCAGCTGCGTCCTAACGCCGTCGCTAGAAAGACGAAACCGCCTATCCTACCCGAAGAAGACGAGCCTTGGAATTTGCTGTCGGTGCTCACGGATTCAACCTGCTCCTTTGGAGACACTGGAAGCCTGTTGTGGCGAAGTACTGTAATTTTTTTGTCGAAGCGTTGAGCGAGTGAGGTGAGTGTTCTGGGGAATTGGAGAGAGGCAGGCACGTGATTCATGCATCCTCCTGACCTGAGTTCTCGAGGAGAGGAGCCTGTACAGTTGAAACGTAAGAATCATCGTTTCAGATTGACGTCAACCAATAAGCCACATAGCGGGTCAATCGACCTCGGAGACTAGAATACCCGTCAAGTGTCAGTTCTTGAGACAGGAGAGGAGGGCTGACATACGGCCTCGATCAGAGAGGTCTGAAGGTCTCCTCGGGATTGCCAACAATTCGCTATAACGTATAACTCTTACAAGATACAAATAGCTGTCATGAGTATGATGAAGCATTGTGTTACGCTGTCACATTCAACTATCCATGTGTATGCCTAGGATGGTGACAAATTCAAACATTTTCTTCCTTGTCCCCTTCCAGTTCACAAATTCAGGGGAAAGTGAGCAAATGAACTACACAGAGGTGTTGATGTGGTCCAACTATGAGGTGGAAATGTTTTGCTAGTAATTTCTGGTGTAAGGGTGAGCGTAAGAAGAATTCCTACATCATGATGGACATCGGGCTTGGCCTAATGAATGACAGGTAACATCCACCGTCATAACTACGTGTTTCACGCTCGAGTTGTCGATCCACTGGAGAGTCGGTTGCAGTTTTCCGTCCAATTCTTGGTTTCGCATTTGCCCGACGGAGAGTCACTTCCCAGGTGACCTTTTTAGGTTCTCCTTGCTGGTTTGTCGGTTGCATGCATACTGCGTATTTCCGATCTAATTTCGGGTCCGATTTACATTTCTTTCAACCTGCAAAAGATTTAGGACGCGCCCTGACCCGAATTGATTTTTCGTCATGGTTTCCCCCGGGGTACACGTCAGGTTCATTCCTAGTCTCATTTCCGTCCAGGATGGACTTGATGATTCTTTCTCTGTTCGTTTCATGAACACGTCCTAAGCGAAATCCAAATCTACGCAAATTAGCGAGGGGGGGGAGTGAGGGCACTAGGGGGCTCAAGTCTTTCAGAGGGACTAGGTCACTAGGTAAAGCAAGACTGCCGGACAGTTAGAGTCTCGTTGCGCGTCATGGCCTTCGCCCTGTGCTCTCGCCCCCTCGTCTGCCTTGCCGCCGCCGCGACCGCCGTCTCGCGCCGCGGCGGAATGCCGCGAAGCGATCATAGTCAGGGGGCGATGCTCTCCGCGCTGGTCACCGCGCGCTCTCCGCGCGCCCGTGCACTGCTCAGTCCGCGCACTGCCTCCGCAAACCCTGCTTCACCGCTTCTCCCGCACTGCTCCGCGGCTGCTGCAAATGAGGCCGAAACGGAGGAGGATGGAGGGGCGGAGGCAGGAGCAGCGGGTGGGGATGTGCTGCGGGTGGTGTACCACAGGTGAGTGGTGAGCGTGGGTGAGTGTACCCAGGGGTGAATGGCAGTGAGTGGGCAAGTGCCACGGCTGAGTGCACGCCTGTAGAACTGGCTACTTGCGCGTGTGCAATGCCTTCCCAGGGCACGTCACCACTGGCGCCCACTGCCTTCTCACCTCCCATTCCCCACGTCCCTTCGACCTAACCTTGAAATCACCACACATGGCCTCAGTGCGCGTCAGGGCATTGCGCCTAAGGATTGTGCAGGGCTTGCGTGCAGGGCTTGCGTGCAAGGCAATGGTCGGGATTGCTTTCTGCTGTCTGCCCAAGATGCCATTCTGTGTTGTTCCCATGACGTCATGCTTTCTTCCCATACCGCCATGCTGTCTGCCCATGACGTCATTCTGTCTACCCATGACGTCATGCTGTCTACCATGGCGTGGTGGTATCTTTATGCCACCTCGCACTGCTGTCTGCGCTCCCAGGGTGGATGGCGACTACGCGGGGTGGGGGCTGCACGTGTGGGGCGATGTGGAGTGCGAGACCTCCTGGCAGGACCCCCTGCAGTATTCCCCCCCCCTGCTGCTGGCGGTGGTGGTGGTAATGGCATGGGTTGTGTGGAGTGGCGGGTGCGGCTGAAGGCAGGCGCGCGGACAGTGAACGTGCTGCCGCACAGGGGGGACTGGAAGGTGACCTGCATGCGCTATACCTTCACACCACATACCTTTGTGCCTCTCACACTGCGTGCCTCGTGCCTTCAAGTTTTCACAGCATGACATGACATGACACAGCATGACATGACACGGCATGACATGACATGACACAGCATGACATGACATGACACAGCATGACATGACATGACACAGCATGACATCACACGTGACTGGCACAAGCTACTGTATCTCTCCCTCAGCCCACCTCCTCCGTCCCTCACTCCATCCCCCTCATTCCCCTTCCCCCCACTTTTTTCCCCCTCCCCTCCCCCTTCTGTGCGCAGGACTGCACGTGGACCATCGACCTCGCCACTCTCCCCTCACCACTGTCGTCCACCTCGTCGTCCTCCTCCTCCCCCCGCACCCCCCCCTGCCCCACCGTGTGGCTCGTCTCTGACCGCCAGCACTTCTTTCTGCACCGCCCCAACCTCTCCCGCCTCCCCAAGGTGCCTCCGTCCCACCCCTTGCTGCCTCCCGCCTGCTTTTCCTGGTGTGGCATCTCTTGGAGTGCTGCATAGCCTGCTTCCGTCTGTTGTTCTCGCTCATGGATCACTCGCCCTACATCCCGTCCCACGCGTCGTCTCAACGCTCACCCACCCATCCCTTGTGTACTGTGCTTTGCTCTGTGAGTGTGCTGTGGGTTGCTCTATCCTCGTTTGAGGGTTGTGTGCTAGCAGGGTAGCCTCGATCTGTTCAAGGCTCACTGGGTGTCGGCTGATGAGATTGCAGTAAATTGGGACTATTCTGAGAGTGACTATGGCGAAGAAATACTGTTCTTGCTGCATGCGAGTGACTCAGCCTCACTCTCCCTCACAGAGAACGGCGTGCAAGGTGTGTTGCCGTGTATGCTATTCTAGTCTATGATCCGTTGCACGCTCTGCACATGGCGTTGCTGCATCACTGCGACAGGGCGTCCGTTGACCTCTGTTCAAGCAGCAGTATTGAAGGGAAGGCGACCAGCTGTGCAGCTGGTTGACTGTTCCTCACCACCATCTCTGCATGCCCCTCTCTTTTCTTCTATTTCCGTTTCCTTTCAAATAGTTTGCGCACCGCCTAGTTGTCCTCGCCTCACCATGACGGTCCTCTTGGAGGATCTACCGCTGTCTGTCTCCTCCCCCCTTCACTTCCCTCCCAACCATCATCATCTGCTGTCATCATGTGCCATCGTCATGTGCCATCATCATCCCGACCACCAGGGGCGGACTCTGTCATTCCGCTCACACTGGACCCTGCTGGCCTCTCGTCTGCTGTGAGCCTACCATCCCAATGCATGGTCCAGTGGTGCACGGTGCAGTGGGGCACGGTGCAGTGGTGCATGGTGCAGTGGTGCAATCGTGCAATGGTGCATGTTGCAATGATGCATGTTGCAATGGTGCATGGTGTAACGACGCATAATGCAAGCAATGATGCATGGTACAATGATGCATGGTACAATGATGCATGGTACAATGATGAATGGTCCAGTGATGTATGGTGCAGTGATGCATGGTGCAGTGATGCATGGTGCAGTGATGCATGGTGCAGTGATGCATGGTGCAATGATGCATGGTGCAGTGATGCATGGTGCAGTGATGCATGGTGCAGTGATGCATGGTGCAGTGATGCATGGTGCAGTGATGCATGGTGCAGTGATGCATGGTGCAGTGATGCATGGTGCAGTGATGCATGGTGCAGTGATGCATGGTGCAGTGATGCATGGGGCAGTGATGCATGGTGCAGTGATGCATGGTGCAGTGATGCATGGTGCAGTGATGCATGGTGCAGTGATGCATGGTGCAGTGATGCATGGTGCAGTGATGCATGGTGCAGTGATGCATGGTGCAGTGATGCATGGTGCAGTGATGCATGGTGCAGTGATGCATGGTGCAGTGATGCATGGTGCAGTGATTCATGGTGCAGTGATGCATGGTGCAGTGATGCATGGTGCAGTGATGCATGGTGCAGTGATTCATGGTGCAGTGATGCATGGTGCAGTGATGTATGGTGCAGTGATGCATGGTGCAGTGATGCATGGTGCAGTGATGCATGGTGCAGTGATGCATGGTGCAGTGATGCATGGTGCAGTGATGCATGGTGCAGTGATGCATGGTGCAGTGATGCATGGTGCAGTGATGCATGGTGCAGTGATGCATGGTGCAGTGATGCATGGTGCAGTGATGCATGGTGCAGTGATGCATGGTGCAGTGATGCATGGTGCAGTGATGCATGGTGCAGTGATGCATGGTGCAGTGATGCATGGTGCAGTGATGCATGGTGCAGTGATGCATGGTGCAGTGATGCATGGTGCAGTGATGCATGGTGCAGTGATGCATGGTGCAGGGATGCATGTTGCAGTGATGCATGGTGCAGTGATGCATGGTGCAGGCAATGATCCATGCTGAATATATCTATTCGCGTCTCACTCACTCCAATCACTCTGTGGACCAACCCTCGAAGCACCTCCGCACCTTCCTCACACAGCCTGCACTGCCGCTCCTCCATCCCCATTCCCCCCTTTCCCCCCCCCACCTCCCACTGCACAGGTGCGCCTCAAGTTCCCCCACCTGGCGTCCTTCACGTGCCTCCGTGTTTCCACCTCTACCCCCATCCCTCACCTCCACCGCCTTCTCTCCTCACAGACCGCCCTCTCCTGCTCCTCTGGTGCGTGCTGGGGGGGTGAGGGATGAGAGGCGATGGATGTGGACGAAGGAAAAGGGTTTGAGGCGTGAGAGGAGGATGGCAATTGGGTTGTGGGGATAGAGGGAGAGAGAGTGTGCGTGCTCACGCTTCATTAGGTGCCCTTTTGAGTCGACTCAAAAGCTTTCTTTGGGGAAGCGGCTGTGTGGTTAAGGGGGCAGGGAAGGCAGTGCAATCCTTTCACGCTGAGTGCTCGGCTGTCCAAAAGGCCAGTTGCTTTCTACACTGTATGATACACTGTATGATACACTGTATGATACACTGTATGATACACTGTATGATACACTGTATGATACACTGTATGATACACTGTATGATACACTGTATGATACACTTATCGTATCGCTCCTCAGTTTTTGCTCCTCTCACGACCCGTCGCGTTGGCCCTTTCCCTCCCTCCAGCATCACGCTTGCCCCTCTCATGCTCCCTACTTTAATATCAGGCACGCCCACCGACGCCACACTGCTGCAGCTAGCAGGGTCTCTCTGGATGGGATGTACTGCTTGGGGGGCTTGTCTTGCGATCTTCTTGTGTGCACCCATTCATCGCTCTATTGCTCCTTCCCTCCCACGCCCATCGACGCCACATCGCTGCAGCTGGCAGGGACTCTGGACGCGCTGTGTCTCTACAAGGGGGTGATGCTGTGTGGTGTACTCCCATCCCTCCCAGCAGCATCAGGCACGCCTATCGACGCCACATCGCTGCAGCTGGCAGGGGCACTGGATGCGCTGTGCCTGTACGAGGGGCCGCTGGGGGTGCACATGGAGGCGCAGGGCGGTGGCACGGTGGGCATTCGCGTGTGGGCGCCCACTGCGCAGGTGAGTTGGTGAGAGCGAGGTGGGCATTCAACACCCGCGGGGGCTCTGGACGTGCTGTGCTGTGCCGTGCCTCTACGATTTGCCACTGGGGGTGCATGTGGAGACGCAGGGGTGCAGCTGGTGGCACGTGTGGGCGCCCACTGCGCAGGTGAGGTGGTGAGGTTGCGGCACTCAACACTTTATGCTGGCGATTTTTTAGGCGCCTCAAGAATCACTTTATGCTGGCGAGCATGTACGCTTGCAATTATGATGCACGTGGTCACTGTGGTGCGGTATGGGAGAGTATGTGCTGTGTGTGTGTGTGTGCTTGCTGGTGTCTTCATTGTTTAACGACTAGCCTTCCTTCATCTAATTGGTGGACACTTACGATGTGAGAGACTCGCATTTAAGGACTAACAAGAGACAAGCTCTTGGAGCCAACCTGTAAGGCGAACAGGTTCTCTGCTTCTTGGAGCCAACAGGCCTTACAGGTTGGCTTATTCTTTCCGGCTCTCTGCTTCTCCCATCTGCTCCTCTCCCCACCCCCGCCTACATCCCCCACCCAAATGTCCACTCTGGAGGTGACATGTCACTCCTGCCGTGGGATCAGCCCCATGCATGAGACCCAGTGCGGCACTTACCTGTCATGCATGGGGCGGGTAATTGAAGCGGGAAAAGCCTTTGACGCTCCTCTCGAGTCTATTGCACTTTCGCACCTGCTCCCCTGCATCACGCTTCCGATCCTTTCACCATCAGGAGGTCGCTCTGCTGCTGTTCGACCACCCCCACGTGTGACCCCTGTGGCTCATGTGCCCACCGAGAGTGTCACTTGCTGAGGCGCCGCTTGTGCGGTTGCTCACCTGCTCTTCTCTTCTTCCCTCCCCTAACTGCTGTGCTCTCAGGAGGTCGTTGCACTGCTGGTCGAGCAGCCCCATGCGTCCCCTCTGTGAGCAACCTTACCAACTCCCACTTGCTCTCCTGTCTCCCCCCCCCCCCCCCCGTTGCACTCTCAGGAGGTAACTCTGCTGCTGTTCGACCAGCCCCATGCATCCCCCCCGGTGGAGCGCGTGCCAATGGAGCGGGGCAGCGAGGGCCAGTGGAGCGCACAGGGCCCCATGGCGTGGCGGGGCATGTACTACCAGTACGAGATCAGGGTCTTCCACCCGTCCACCAATAGGATGGAGACATGTGTCGCCACCGACCCTTACTCCCGCGGGTACTGCTCTTCACAACGTGCTCTTCCCGACGTGCACACTTCCTGCTCGGCCAACGCTCCTCGTTTGCAAACTCCATTCGTTGTATCACCTCCCCTCTTCTATATGTCTTCCCCATCCACCTCCTGTTGCCAACGAAGCAAGTGCAGTATTGAGGTGCAGTATTGAGGTGCAGTATTGCAGTGTCAGTATTGAGGTGCAGTATTGAGGTGTCAGTGCCTCCTATCTAGTATCTTGCTCGCACAGCTCTTCCTTTCTCCCTGCACGCATTCTTGCACTCTTGCTGTTGAACTATTCTGTTCTCTGCATTTCTTTCTCCTTCTCCTGCTGCCTTACCAGTCTATCTGCAAATGGAGAGCGCTCACTGGTGGTCGACCTGAGCGATGCCTCGCTGGCGCCTCCTGATTGGTCCTCGCTGCACCATCAGAAGTCTCCCCTCCAGTCGTTCTCAGACGTGTCCATCTACGAGCTGCACATCCGCGACTTCAGGTGCCATTCTCAAAGTCCCATGTGCTTTTCCATTCCAGTCGACTCAAAATCCGCCTTTGAGCTCCACGCTCTCTTGGCTTCAGGTGCACTAATCAAACGGCCACAGGCAGTTTGTTATTTTGAGTCGACTCAAAAGTTCTCCAATGAGATCCCGAGTGGAATTTGAAGCAATCACTTCCCATGATGGGTCCCAATTCTCGCTGTGCCTGTCTACTCCTGGCCTGATGTGCCTGCTAGTGCATGCTTGCAGCCCTCATGGTTGCTTCTTTTCTTGTGATGCACGCAGATTTTCCACCCACGAGCTTCACTCATCACCACACTCCCAGACTTCTTCGTCTGTCGTGCATTGCTGCTCCACCCCTTCCCACTTCTCCCAAACGTCACGTGCTCTCTTCCCCACTCTCCCATCCTCTCTCACGGCTTCCCATTCTCGCACTCCCTCCCACCCACTCTTTCTCCCCTCATTCCCCCCATCCGCCCACCAGCGCATCAGACCCTTCAGTGCCCGAGCCTCACAGAGGCACATACCTCGCCTTCACCCACCCTGTACGCGCCGCTCTTCCCCATCTCCCACCACTCTCTACCTTCCGCCACTCTCCATCTCCCACCTCTCTCCACCTCCTCGTAGGTTCCACCATGCCAGCTCCCCTGAATCCTTAGCCACTTAGTCAACTTACCCGTCATCGCCACCCGGCTCATTGGCTCCACAACACCTCTCCTCACCCACCTCTAGTCACCCCCGTTAACTTCATGCACACACTGCCACCTCTCCTCCCTCTGCTCCCTCACCTCGTTCCCCTCCCCTCCCCCTTCTCCCCCCCTCTCCCCTCGCAGCACTCCCAGGGCGCACAGCACCTGGCGCAGCTATCTGCCAGCGGCCTCTCCCACCTGCACCTGCTGCCCTCCTACGACTTTGGCTCGGTCAATGAAGACAAGAGCACGTGGCAGGCTGTGGGTGAGGGGTCCTTTGCTCTGCCCGTGCGCCTTCCATTCGACCACGGCTGTCGGCGACAAGTTTTTTTTGGTCGACTGCCTGCCTGACTTTGAGTCGAATAACATGCTCTCCTGCCGTCCATTTTCCTCTTCCCCATCTCAGATGAAGCCTCCCTCAGACTCGCCCCACCTGACTCCAACCACTTTTGAGGCGCCTGGAACGCGACACAATCAGCCCCTGCTGGCCCTTCCTCTCTACCCCATCCCTGATAAAGCCTCCCTCAGGCTACACCCGCCTGGCTTTGAGTCAATTCACATGCACTCCTGCTGTCCGTTCCCCTCTACCCCATCTCAGATGAAGCCTCCCTCAGACTCGCCCCGCCTGACTCCGACCGCCAGCAGGCAGCTGTGGCGGCTGTGAAGGATGCGGATGCGTACAACTGGGGGTGAGTGCAGGCCACAGCTACGGGCGAGTGTGTCTCAGTTGCTGCTTGCCATTGCCAACAGACTGATGTTGCCAGCAGGCTGTTGTTGCCAGCAGGCTGTTGTTGCCAGCAGGCTGTTGTTGCCAGCAGGCCCTTGTTGCGGATGTGAAGGGTGCTGATGGTGGGTGGGCACGACTGGGGGAGATAGCGATGGTAGACATGTGTGGCCAGCGAGCACGCCGCATGATTCTGTACTGCTTTTGGTTGTGAGTGAGCGAAAGTGGGTGCGGTCAACCGGGGATGGGTGCATGCATGGCATGTGGCGGTATGCGTCCTTGGCAATCTGCTTCGCTCTTCCGCTGTGCCCTTCACCCTGACGGCAGCTATGCCACCCACAAGAATGTTTCTTGAGCAATGTCTCATGGAAGGACTCCACACTCTGTACCCTCTCATTCAACCCCAGCCTAAAACCCTTGTGACCTCGTGCACTGGGGGGTGCCTGACGGCAGTTTTTTTACCCGCTTACTCCTCTAGCAAAGTTTGAGGGGAAGACTCTTCCTGCTGTACCCTCACTCTCAAACCCAACCCTAAAACCCTGTACCTCAGGTATGACCCGGTGCACTGGGGGGTGCCTGATGGCAGCTATGCCACCCACGCTGATGGCGCTGCTCGCACTCTTGAGTTCCGCTCCATGGTGCAGGTATGCATGGTGTAGGTGTGTGTGATGCAGGTGTATGTGATGCGGGTATGCATGGTGCAGGTATGTATGGTGCAGGTACACATTAGACGCTGATATAAGAAGAAACAAACAAAGTTAGAGGAACAGTGAGCAAGTCAGGTAGTCTTCCACAGAAGTTTCGGTGGGTATAGCACCAACTCGTAGGTTGTCTGCAGGGGGGCTGCTGGCGCCTTTGTTTCCATCGAATTGGTGGCAAGCGATGCATGGCGTGGCATGGCGTGGCATGGCGTGGCACCATCATTGTCTCAACCTCTGTATGTTGTTTCCTCTCCTGGTCCCCCACGCCATTTCTTCCCCTCGCCGTGGCTCATGCCTCGCCAGGCGGTGAACGCCCTGGGCTTGCGGGTGGTGGTGGACGTGGTGTACAACCACCTGTACGCCAGCGGCCCCCACAGCCCCTTCTCCGTGCTCGACAAGGTGGGTCAAGTCAGCACACCAGGTCCTAGCTGCCACAGCTCCCATCCCACAGTGCCCACCTGCAGTTCTCGGACCTTTCGCACGGCTCTCTTGCACCTTCCTCGCTCGTGGTTCCAGGGGGTGATGTGCGGCGGGGCGCTGAGGGGCGATGTGCGGCGGGGCGCTGAGGGGCGATGTGCGGCGGGGCGCTGAGGGGCGATGTGCGGGGGGGCGCTGAGGGGCGGGTGGAAAGCTGTCCTACAAGCCGCTGTGATCTCGCTGCAGTTCGTCCCAACTGCTGCACGGTGAATCCAGTCAATGCCGCCGCCCCTTGTGCCCTCCAGGTGGTGCCCGGGTACTACGTGCGGCGGGACGGGGAGGGGCGCGTGGAGAGCAGTGCGTGCTGCAACAACACAGCGAGCGAGCACGCCATGGTGGAGAGGCTCATTGTGGACGACGTGCTCATGTGGGCCACGCAGTACAAGGTGAGCCGCTCAATGTGTGGTATTTTGAGTCTATCCAAAAGCCTGCAGTACAAAGTGAGTGATGTGGTGTAGACAAGAGACCATTAGCCCGCATAGGAAATGGAAAGTGGCACAACAGTTGGAGAACATACAAACAACAAGACTTCGTCTTTTTTTACGGGGTGCATTGCGCGGAACTGTTGGGCCTGTTGCATTGCATCCATCCGCTGTTTGTTGCATGGCTGGCAGGTGGACGGGTTTCGGTTTGATCTCATGGGGCACCTCATGAAGCACACCATGGTGCGTACAGCTGTGCTCTACTGCTTGTCCACTGCAGGACGCCCAATCCAATCCACTTGACCGGCCTTGGCAATCTGCATGCCACTCTTGTTTTCATTCCTTCTTTCCAAGTGCAGCCCTGTGATGCCCCGTGATCCCTGCACCCATTACTTTCGAGTCGACTCATGACTTTTGAGTCGACTCAAAAGTTACTTTCTTGCTTTCTTACTGGCACTTTCGGCTCCCCCCTCAACTTCGCATCTGCGCAGCGCTTGACTCTCCCACCGCGCAGGGGCCAACGGCCTTTCTCCCTTTAACCCAGTTCTTTCTGCCTCCCCCTGTCGGTTGCTTGCTCTTCTTGCCGCTGCGTCAGCTGCGCATCCGCACGGCACTAGATTCTCTAACTATCGAGGAGCATGGGGTCGACGGCAAGTCCATTTACTTGTGAGAGAAATATATTCTTGTCGCTGAGCTGACTATTTTTCGTTTCTACTCACGACAATTCAGGTGGATCCTTTTGTATTCCGATGCCCCATGAGCGGCGCATAGAGGTGCTTCTCAGGTAAAGCTTCCTTCCCTTGGTGCTGGGCGTCTCAGGCCTGCGTTCGTTGCTTCTCCCCCCATCAGATACGGCGAGGGGTGGGACTTTGGCGAGGTAGAGAACAACGGCCGGGGGGTGAATGCAGCACAGCAGAACCTGCACGGCACCGGCATCGGCAGGTGGTGCTCTTGAGCCCTTGGCATGGTTTATGTGCTTCTTTGTGTCGCAACAGTGACTATGCACTGCACCATGCCATGGCAGGACTTCACCTTTATGGTTATGTATGATCTCTTGTTTTAAATTTCAAGTCCTTCAGCACTCCTGCAATCTGCATTCAGGTTTGTGAGAGAAGGCGGCGTGGTTGAAAAAACTCCGGTTGGTGAAGTTACCCTAAACCCTACACAAAGTGCCTTGCAGCTTTCCTTCCCCCATTCCCCATCCCAACGCCCGTTGTCACTTGCCTCCCCTCTCCCCCCTCGCAGTTTCAACGACCGCTTTCGGGATGCAGTGATAGGGGGGTCACCCTTCGGCCATCCGCAGCAGCAGGGCTTTGCCACGGGCCTCATGCTCATGGTGCGTTTGCTGTCCCGTATCCTATCGTTTCCCTATCGCCACAGGCCTAATGCTGCTCGTGCGTGCATCGTATCTCTTACCCTATCATTTCTCAGTTTTTCCCTACCGTTGCGGGCATTCTCCAGTTCTATCTATCCTCGTTTGCATATGTGTTGTGTGCAGAGTGTGCCGTATGCTGCACCTCATGCCTTCGGGTTAAATCGTCTTAACATGAGTAAACCACTTACTTGCAGCATTCTTCATCTGGGCTTGCCCACCGTCCAAGTGTGCTTGGTGTTTTTGAGAATTCTCAAAAGCGATGGGGCTTGCCTGCTGTCTAAGCTTGCTCCTTGGTGCATACTTTCTCGATTTGAAAAGCTCCAATTTTGCATGCTGGCTCATCCCACCGCACGACTTCCCTCTCAACAGTGGTAGGTTTCTTAGAATTTTCAAAAACATATCACAATTGTAAAAGAATCTCAAAGACCTATCATAGTTCTCATTTTTTTCTTCTCAAAAACCTACCACAGTTCGCATGCTCAGCTTACTCATCCCAGCATACTGCTTCCCGCACACCACGCCTTCCCTTTCAAACCACTGTGTAAACTCACCTAATCACCTACTCCCCCCCTTCAACTGTGCACACCCACACCCACTCCTCCCGTTCCATCTCCCTTCAGCCCAACAAGTACGAGGAGGGGGGGAGCAGAGGAGGCGCAACAGCTATGCCAGCAGCAGCCACAGCAGACTCGGAACCTAAGACTCGCTTTCCCCTTCCCATCCCGTCACCTCCCCTGCTGCTCCCTGCTATGCCCTCGTTCCCCCCTCTCTAACCCAACGAGCATGAAGAAAATGACCGCCTGAACCGGGGCTACAGATCTGGCAGCACCAGCAGCAGGAAAGGAGCCTCAGCATCGCTTTCCTTACCACACCCTTTCACGTCCCTGCTATTCCCCCTTGTCTCCTCCCTCCAGCCCAACGAGTACGAGGAGAGCGAGCGGCAGAGCAGGGGCTACAGCCTGCAGCTCTGGCAGCAGCAGCAGCAGCGTAGGAGCCTCAGCCTTGCTTTCCTTTGCACCTCCTTCACTTCACTCCCCCCTCTCCGCAGCCCAACGAGTACGAGGAGAGCGAGCGGCAGTACAGGAGCTACATCTATGACAGCAGCAGCGGCAGCAGCAGCAGCAGTGGGGAGGAGGGCGAGGGAGGGAGTGGGGGTGAGGGCGAGGCATCGGTAGTGTGGTGGCGGCAGCGGCTGGGGGAGAGTGTGGATGTGATTCAGGCGGGCATGGCGGGCAATCTCAGGGACTTCGCGTTTGCATCACATGCCACTGGCAACCAGGTGGGGGGGAGGGGTTTGGGGAGGGAGAGGGAGGAGGGAGAGAGGGAGTTGGGCGAGAGGGAGTGGGGCGAGTGCGATGCATCATTGGCGTGGCCGCAGCGGCTGGGGAAGAGTGTGGATGCGATTCAGGCGGGCATGGCTGGCAACCCCAGGCAATTTGCCTTAGCCTGACGTGCCACCGGCAACTAGGTGGGAGGGTGGGAAAGGTGGGAGGGCAGGTGGCATGGGATTTGAGGGCGAGGGAGGGAGGGAGTGGGGGTGAGGGCGATGCATCAGTGGTGGCAGCGGCTGGGAGAGAGCATAGATGTGATTCAGGCGGGCATGGCTGGCAATGTCAGGGACTTTGCCTTCGCCTCACATGTCAAAGGCACCCAAGTGGCGGAGGGGGGGTTGAGGCGCCTCAAAAAGCGGCTGGGGGATTCAGGAAGCGTGGATGGATGTGATTCAGGCGGGCATGGCTGGCAATCTCAGGAACTTCTCCTTCGCCTCACGTGCCACCGGCGCCCAGGTGGGCAGGCGGGTGGGAGGAGCGCATCGTGCTGTTGCTGTCACCAGCACCGCACTGCCGCGGCTCTCCTTGAAGGCCATGATCCGCCATTGGCTCTCCCTGAAGGCCGTGATCCGCCATGGCTCTCCTTGAAGGCCGTGATCCGCCATTGGCTCTCCTTGAAGGCCGTGATCCGCCATGGCTCTCCTTGAAGGGCGTGATCCGCCATTGGCTCTCCTTGAAGGCCGTGATCCGCCATGGCTCTCCTTGAAGGCCGTGATCCGCCATTGGCTCTCCTTGAAGGCCGTGATCCGCCATGGCTCTCCTTGAAGGCCGTGATCCGCCATTGGCTCTCCTTGAAGGCCGTGATCCGCCATGGCTCTCCTTGAAGGCCGTGATCCGCCATTGGCTCTCCTTGAAGGCCGTGATCCGCCATGGCTCTCCTTGAAGGCCGTGATCCGCCATTGGCTCTCCTTGAAGGCCGTGATCCGCCATGGCTCTCCTTGAAGGCCGTGATCCGTGACTGCGAGGCAGGGGGTCTCTCCAGGCCTTCCTTGCAGTGCGCCAAGATCCCCCTCTGCTTCGCCTGGCGCAACCCAGCTCACCAGCACATCCCCTTTCTGCCTCCCCCTGCCTGCCTGCTGCTGCCTCCCGGCTGCTGCCCTTGCAGGTGACAGGAGGGCAGCTGTACACGTTTGGAGGGTCGCCTGTGGCATACGCAGCAAGCCCGCATGAATCGGTAATGCTGGCAGCAGGTGACTCGGTCGGGTGACACCGTAGGGTGAGCAGCACATGTCGCAGCAACAGCAAATGAGACAATATCGCCAAAGCACATGAACTGCTATTGTCACCAGGCAGTGCGAGCCAGTGTGGCTAAGACAGCGCATGTGAGGTGCAGGGGGAGACTGGGGGAATACACACGCAACAGAGAGTGGAGTGGTCCTTGAGCCGAGAGGACGAGAGGACCAATCGAGGTACCACGCGGTAGGTGCGAGCGAGCTCTGAGTACTATTCCAGACACGACCATCGATCCACAGCTTTTCCTGCTTATGATGCCCGTGTTCTGTCGTTCAAGTGCATGGGCTGTGTCTTTCGAGTGCATGTGCTGTGTCGTTCGAGTGCGTGTGCTGCGTCGTTCGAGTGCGTGTGCTGTGTCGTTCGAGTGCATGTGCTGTGTCGTTCGAGTGCGTGTGCTGCGTCGTTCGAGTGCGTGTGCTGCGTCGTTCGAGTGCATGTGCTGTGTCGTTCGAATCGAATGTGTGTGTGCATGCAGGTGACGTATGTGTCGGCGCATGACAACGAGACGCTCTTCGACATTGTAACCATCAAAGTACGACAAGCCCTGCCCCTCTTCTGCCTCACATGCTCCGCCCCTCACATGAGCGTCTCTCATTGTCGGGAGCATGCGTCTGCTGCGGTCCTCATGCACCGCCTACCCAGTCCACCCAATGCTTCTCTCTTCACAGCGCTCTCTGCGCTTTTGTTTTTCTCCGTTTTGACCTGCTGTCCATCCCTGCTCACCCCCCCCCCCCAGCAGTGGCACCACAGCAGCACGTGTCGATGAACCGGGTGGCGATGGCGGTGGTGGGATGGAGGCAGGCAGGGCGTGCCGTTCATCCATGCAGGGCGCCTCTAGCCACCCTCCCTCCAGCCTAACATGCTCACCCCCACACTTCCTCCCCACCTTCCCACAGGCGGCGGCAGCGGTGGCTCCCCAGCAGCGTGTGGCGATGAACCGGGTGGCGATGGCGGTGGTGGCGTGGGGGCAGGGCGTGCCGTTCATCCATGCTGGCGACGACCTGCTGCGCTCCAAGTCGCTCGACCGGGACTCGTACAACTCGGGCGACTGGTTCAACCGGTGGGTGAGGAGCGCATTCTGTTAAAGCTGCTGTCAACCAGTGGGTGGGGAGGGTGAGAATCTACTTGAGTCCCAGCGAGCCAGGGTGTGGCGTTCGTCCATGCGGGGGAGGGCCTCCTGCGATCCCTACAACTCACGCGACTGGTTCAACCGGTTCAACTGGTGAGTGCATGGGACCTGTGAGTCTATCTGCAGGGTCCCGCACTGCCGGCCGACAAAGACTTGTGCATCTTGGGTGACTGGCTCAACGCCAGTGCATAGGGTGCTGATCCCTGAGTCACTTCAAAGAGGCATGGGTACTGCTGCCTGGTTGACCAAGAGGCGCTCAGCTCTGGGGATTGGTTCACCCGGTCAGTGTGAGAAACATTCTGTTAAAGCCTGCTGTTTTTACAAGCCAATGAGGTGCAAACTCTGCTAAAGATGCTGTTTGAACTCAACTTATCAGTGTGCTTCATGCTGGTAAGGTAGAGGCACATTTGAAATGAAGGCTTCCTGTTTTGCACTGCAGCCCACCTGCCAGGGAGCGGGGGATGAGCAGCGTGGTGCAGTGTGGTGCAGTGCAGTGTGGTGCAGTGTGGTGCAGTGCAGTGTGGTGCAGTGACAGGCATGGTGAAGCTCAGAACATGAGCCCCTCAATGTGGTTCTGCGCCCCTCAATGTGGTTCTGCGCCCACTGATTCCGCGCTCTGCCCTTCCTGCCTGGCTTCCACTGCCCTCTCCCCCACCGATTCCCCACCCTTCCCCGGCCCCCGACTCTCCCCAACCCTTCTCCTGCCCTGCCCCACCCGTCTGCCCCCACCCATCTGCCCCCACCCGTCTGCCCCTCCCGTCTGCCACCTCCCGTCTGCCCCCACCCGTCTGCCCCCTCCCATCTGCCCCCACCCGTCTGCCCCACCCGTCTGCCCCCTCCCGTCTGCCCCACCCGTCTGCCCCCACCCGTCTGCCCCCACCCGTCTGCCCCCACCTGTGCATGCCCCTGGCAGGCTGGACTGGTCGGGCGCCACGAGCAACTTTGGCGTGGGGCTGCCACCGCATGAGAGAACGGCGACAAATGGGACATGTGAGGGGGGGAGGTGTGGGGGGGGGGGGGGACGCGGTGGTGAGGGGGGGAAAAGGTTGAAGGTTGGTGCCTTGTAGTCTGGACTGGTCGGCGGCTACCAGCAATTTGGGGGTGGGGCTGCTACCATGTGGGAGAATGGCGAGAAATGAGACATGTGAGGGGAGACGTGTGGTGGGTGGTCGGGCACCGGGCGAGGGGCCGGGTGAGGAGGGGGGATTGTGGGAAAGGGATGTGGAGAAGATGCTCTAGGGAGATGAGAGTTTGTTCAATCCCTCCTTATGAGGTTTTTGTAGGCATGGGGAAGGAGACATTCACCCTACTCGGGAAATAACTTAGACATGAGGGGTTGAGAGTTGAGAGTTGAGAGTTGAGAATTGAGAATTGAGAGTTGAGAATTGAGAGTTGAGAATTGAGAATTGAGAATTGAAATTGGAATTGAGAATTGAGAATGAGTGAATTGAGATTGAGAATTGAGAATGAGAATTGAGAATTGAGAATTGAGAATTGAGAATTGAGAATTGAGAATTGAGAATTGAGAATTGAGAATTGAGAATTGAGAATTGAGAATTGAGAATTGAGAATTGAGAATTGAGAATTGAGAATTGAGAATTGAGAATTGAGAATTGAGAATTGAGAATTGAGAATTGAGAATTGAGAATTGAGAATTGAGAATTGAGAATTGAGAATTGAGAATTGAGAATTGAGAATTGAGAATTGAGAATTGAGAATTGAGAATTGAGAATTGAGAATTGAGAATTGAGAATTGAGAATTGAGAATTGAGAATTGAGAATTGAGAATTGAGAATTGAGAATTGAGAATTGAGAATTGAGAATTGAGAATTGAGAATTGAGAATTGAGAATTGAGAATTGAGAATTGAGAATTGAGAATTGAGAATTGAGAATTGAGAATTGAGAATTGAGAATTGAGAATTGAGAATTGAGAATTGAGAATTGAGAATTGAGAATTGAGAATTGAGAATTGAGAATTGAGAATTGAGAATTGAGAATTGAGAATTGAGAATTGAGAATTGAGAATTGAGAATTGAGAATTGAGAATTGAGAATTGAGAATTGAGAATTGAGAATTGAGAATTGAGAATTGAGAATTGAGAATTGAGAATTGAGAATTGAGAATTGAGAATTGAGAATTGAGAATTGAGAATTGAGAATTGAGAATTGAGAATTGAGAGAGCTCAGATGGATCCCTGCAGGTGTTTCTTCCCTCCCCTGCATGATGCATCCCTGTCTCTGTGCCCTCCCCCTGCTCGCTCACCCACCACACCACCCTCCTCTCAGGATGCGGCCTCTCCTCGCCAACCAATCACTGCGCCCCACGTCAGCGGACATTACCGCCACGTCGCACTACCTGCGCATGCTGCTGGCTGTGCGCTACTCCTCCCCGCTCTTCCGCCTGCCGTCCCTCGAGCTCGTTCAGGTAAGACTCAGGGAAGGTTGTTCAGGCAGGGAGTCAGACGGGTGTTGAGGCAGGGAGTGAGGGAGGTTCACGGGACAAGCTTCTCATTGGTAGAATTCAGCATGGAGCCAGCCTCTTTCACCCATTGGTGAAGAGGGCACACCGTCTGCTCTTCCCCATGAATTCCAACAGATTCCGTCTCTTGCAATAATCTCTTGCCTTGACTTGGGCCTTGCCAGCACCCCAGCCTTTCTTGCCTCCGCCCTCCCCGTGCCTCCGCCCACCCCGTGCGTCCACCCCCCCCCTCTCCTCAATCCATCCCATGCCCGCCCGCAGGAGCGAGTGCAGTTCCTTAATGCAGGCCCTGCAGCGCTGCCTGGAGTGATCGTCATGAGCGTGGCTGATGGCGACAGCGATTCCCCCATGGCGCAGCTCGACCACAGGTGAGAGCCAGGCTCACCGGCACGCTAGAGGCTAGACCCATCCCCTGCCCTCACAGAGGAGCGAGTGCAGTTTCTCAACGTGGGCAGCACAGGGCTGCCTGGAGTGATATGGATGAGCGTGGCTGATGGCCGGACTGGTTTTGCCATGGCACAGCTCGACCCCAGGTGAGATCCCAGGTGGCGCAGCTGGTTGCCAGGTGGAATCCCATATGGTACAGCTCTCGATCATCCCAGGTGGCACAGGTCGACCCCAGATGAAAAATTTCAAGTAGACCAACACGCTTGATGCTCAGCCTTGTTGCAGCTGATTGGACGGCAAGCTAGGCTCAGCTGATTGGACGGGAAGCTAGGCTCAGCTGATTGGACAGCAGGCTAGGCCCGGCTGAGCCACAACAGGACGCCGGCCACTTGGCTCAGCCACAGCAGCCTCCCCTTCTTTTGGGTGGGCCTTGGACGTCAGTGGCTGGTTGGTGTTGCTCGCCCACATTCACGACGATTATCTCGGCCAGATCTGACCCCATGACACTCACATGGAAAGTTATTGTTTTTGAGAAATCTCAAAAACAAAACACATCCCATGACACCCACGTGGAAAGTTATCACTCGCAGCATCACTTGGCATGGCCTTGACGGGGCGTATCGGCATGGCCCCTTGGGGGCATCAAATGGCATGACCTTGATGGGGGCATCACATAGGCATGGGCAATGGTAGGAGCAGGGCAGCGGGCAACAGGCTGACACTGTCACCATCTCGCCTGGGTGCCATCTGGGGATGCCTTTTGCAATGCGTCGTGATTTTTCCTCCCACGGCAGGTACCGCATGCTAGTGCTGGTCATCGCCAATGCACGCCAGTGCTGGTCATCACCATGACGCCAGTGCTGGTCATCCACCATGCATGCTAGTGCTGGTCATCACCATGCACGCCAGTGCTGGTCATCACCATGCACGCCAGTGCTGGTCATCACCATGCACGCTAGTGTTGGTCATCACCATGCAGCCGCACCTCTTGACTCGACTCAAAAGGCACCTCGTTACAGTGCCACATGGCCTTTTCTCTGGGGGTGTCCTTTGGTGTGCATCTTGTTTTTCAGGCGCCTCAAAAACAGACTTCCGAGCATCTTGTTCTTTTCTTCGACGGCAGGTACCGCTCGCTGGTGGTGGTGATCAGCATGCACCCGCAGCCGTTCCTCCTGCACCTGCCTTCCCTGGTCGGACGGACTCTCGTGCCGCACCCACTACAGGTCAGCACCACTTGCATCTGTCTCTCCCCCATTCCCCTACTTCCTCCCCCTCCAGAATGTGTGATTCATTCTCGTCCACCTCCTTCAAATTCCCTCCCATTTCCAAGCTGTTTGCCCAGTCACTTCCCTGCGCCTCTCTGCACCATCTGCACCCCACCGCAGGAGGAGCATGGCATGGTGCCATCGCACGCACATGTAGGTCCATGGTTCCAGGCAGATACTGCTATGCTCACTGTTCCACCCCTGGCTGCTCTCACACTCGTGGAGCCAAGGACTGAGATGAGATGAGAACCTCATGCCGATGCTATGTAGCTACGCCCAGCCTGCATGCAGTATTTCAATACGCAGGACCATGTGTAGCCACCGGATTTGAGTAACTGTATTATTCTTTGTTTGGTTACAGCATGCTTATATACATCTTGAGACGACATTGTTAGCAACTGTTTTCATTGAATAAAATAATAAACTGCAAGGTGAATGCATCGTCTGGTTCAGTAGTAGCCACGAAATATCTTTGTGTGAGCTGTGCTGTGGTCGCTGCTGCTGCTGCTGCTGCTGCTGTGCTGTGGTCACTGCTGCTGCTGCTGCTGCTGCTGCTGAGCTGTGGTCATGGAATCATCGCCCGGGCATGTCTTCATTCAGACGCAAGTGTGCGTTGTGTTCCCTCCACGTGCCCTGCGCACTCTCTTACTGTGCGCGCTCCGGGAGGCATGCCCTCCATGCATGTCTTCCATCTCTGCTCTCCATGACCTCACCCCCCCTGCCCGTACTGCTGTTCGCACTCCTCTCCCCCACCTACATCCTCCCTGGGGACCAGCATGTCAGTCGCTGCAGCATCCTCCCCTGCCGTCTCCCAGTCACCACCCTCTGCTCCCAACCTCCCTCCCGTGCCCTCCTCTCCCCCCAGTGCACATGCCTCACCGGCCCTCCTCCCCCCTCTCCTGCCATCTCCTGCCCAACAGTCCCTTGTCCGTTCACATCCTTCCCTACCCTGCGTCCTGAACCCCCTCCTCCACCCCCTCCCTCCCCTTCCCAGCACTAGCATCAGCACCCCTCCCTCTGCTACCAGCAGCACCAGCAGCCTCCCTTCCCCCTCCCCCAGCATCAGCTGCCAGCAGCAAAGGTCGGTTGGCCCGGCTCACAGCAGCCACGGCGGCCTGCGCCCTGAGGCTCTCCACCACCAGTCGCACGGCCTTCTGCCACCGCGCCCTCGGGTCCAACCTCCCTGCCCTCCTCCTCCTCTGCCCCTCCCTCGCCCCATGCCCCTCCCTCCGCTCCCCTCCCTCCCGCCTTCCCGCCCTCCCTCCTCTCCCTCCCCACTCCTCTCCTCATGCTGCATGTCCTGATCAGTCGCCTCCCCTGTGTGCGCGCTGGGGTGCTGGTACAACTGCCTCACAGACTCCATAGCAGCCAGCATAGAAGCCAGATTCACCCGCTCAGTGGCCTCGGCCTGCTGCTGCACCGTGTCCCCCATGGCCAGGGCGTCCGGGTCCAGTGCCTCTAGGATGCGCGCCGCGCGGTCGCGGGCGGCCTGGGCGGCCTCCGGGGTGAGGGAGGCCAGGGAGGTGCGGGAGGAGAAGCGGCGGGAGAGGCGGAAGGAGGGCAGGCCGAAGTGGCCCCACGTGGTGACGCTGGCGTGGACTGGCTTGGCCTCGATTAAATTCGATCGTGTTATGAGACCCGCCTGCAGGAGGGGGGGGGGAGTGGTACACATGTGGGTATGTGGGGCTGCAGAAAGTGTGACTGTGAGGCACTGTGCAGGTGGCATGGTAGGGCATCGAATGGCATGGGATGGCATGTCGTGATGCTGGTGTGCACTGGCTTTGCTTTGATCAGGTTGTGTGTGTATGTGCTAGGCGTCGTGTGGATCATTGAGCTGGCGGGTGATGTGATGCCATAGTGCAGCATGGCACGGCATGGCATGGCATGGCATGGCATCGCATCGTGGATGGCATGGCGGATGGCACGGTGGATGGCACGGTGGATGGCACGGTGGATGGCACGGTGGATGGCACGGCGGATGGCACGGTGGATGGCACGGTGGATGGCATCGCATGGTGGATGGATGGCATGGCATGGCAAGACATGGTGGATGGCGTGGCATGTCATGGCATGGTGGATGGCACGCTTGGTGGCATCTCACCGGCTGGCCTGTGTTGTCCACCACACAGATGTATGTCAGGTTCAGCTGATGGCGGGGGATGGGGAAGGAGGGAAGGTCCAAGGGAGAAGCGTCAGTGTGGCAGCCGCAAGGTAGAGCCTAGAGCCACGAGATGTACCTCTTGTGGTAGAGCAAGAAAGTGAGTTGGAACATGACAGATGAGGGGATGAGGGCATGACAGATGAGGGCATGAGGGCATGGGAGCACCAGAGAACGAGGGACGCATGGCGCCTTGCACGGGGGCACTTGAACGGGGGCACTTGCACGGGGGCACTTGAACGGGGGCACTTGCACGGGGGCACTTGCACAGCATGTGTGTGCAGCGGGAAAGGCCATGGCAGGTGTGTGGCGGCCACCTTGCGCATGAGGGGGAAGACACGGAGGATGGGCGTGCAGTGGGCCACTTGGAAGGGGTACGGGTCCATGATCTCCGTCAGATCCAACAACACTTCAGCCTCGCCACTCATCGCAACCCCTCTGCCACTCACTTCCCCACTACTCCTCTCAGCTTCCCTCCCAACTCGTTCTTCCCCTTCTACCCTCTCCCCATCATCCTGTCTCTCCTCACCCCCTCCTTCCACCTCGTTTTCCTTCCCTCCTCCCTCCTCAATGCCCACCCCTGTGCTCGCTCCTCCTGCCCTTTCAGGGCTCTGCTCTCCTTTCAGCTGCTGCTGCTGCTGCTGCTGCTGCTGCTGCTGCTGCTGCTGCTGCTGCTGCTGCTGCTGCTGCTGCTGCTGCTGCTGCTGCTGCTGGAAGGTTTCCACCGCCTGCGCCTCTGTGGCACAAGCACCTGAGGCATCACCAGAGGCAGCAGCAGTGTCAGCAGCAGCGCCAGCAGGCGCAGGCGAGAAGGCACCAAAAGCAGGAGGCCGAGGGGGGAGAGGGCTGTGACTGCCTGTGCTGTGGGGCTGCCCGCTCCTGCCATCTGCACTGTCTGCGGGGGCTCCTGCACGCCCGTACCCATACCCATAATAACCCAGCCCATGTGCTTGACCGTGCCCATATTCACGCACATGCCCCATTCGGTGTGCATGCCCACGATATGCATCAGTGCTGCACGCATGAGCACCCCGCCCACCCATGCCACCACCATGGGTGGACGACGCAGCAGAGCCAGCAGCACCACCACCACCAGCGCCAGCAGCAGCAGGGGCGCTGTGCAGCGAGGGAACTGCCGCCCAGAGCGCATCTTCTGCCGCCCACTGCTGGTCCGCGAGCCTGGCGTTGGTCTCCATGGCCATGAGCGTGCGGTCCAGCAGGCGCTCCTCCTCCTCGCGCCGCACCATGTCGCGCATGCACCGCTCCTCGCCCGTCTCACTGTCGTCGTGGCACGAGAGAATCTTCTGAGAAAGTTCCTCTGTGTACCGGTGGCCTCTTCTTCTTTCTCTTCTCACGCGCCGCTGTGCCTCTGTCTCCCACTCGTGGCTCTCCCCTTCTTCCTCCTCCTCCTCTTCTTCTTCTACGCCTTCCCCTTGTCTTTCATTCTCTCCCTCTTCTTCACCTGTCCTCCTGCCCTCCTCCATTCTCGCGTCCCCCCCCTCGTCTATCCCCACTCTCGCTCTCCTCTTCCACGGAGGTCGCTTCATGGCAGCACGCCAATGCAGCCCCACCAGCCGCACCCTTTCTCCCCCACTACCACCAGCACCACCAGCACCAGCATCACTGGGAGCACCACGCCGATCATTACCAGCAGCATCACTAGCACCAGCGCCTGTCCCGACTGCCGCAGCAGGAGCACCACCACCATCACCACCGGCACCAGCTACACCACCAGCGGCAGCCGCAGCAGCAGCAGCATCGCAGGTCTGGTTATGCGCAGCCAGCAGAGCGAGCAGCCTTGCGCGGCTGACCACCCCTTTGAGCCCCCCGTCCGCATCCACCACCATGAGCGCGGGGGAGAAACACCCCATGAGCGCCGCGCGGATGAGCGAGGGCGTCTCCATCTCCCTTAGCTGTGCAGTGTGGCGGTCCATGAGGTGGCGCGCCTGCAGCCCCGCATGGCGTGGGAGCGGCTTGTCCTGCAGGAAGGGGATCTTCTTGATGGAGAGAAGCACCTCGTCGTAGCTGCGGCCGAAGAACTGGGCGACTGCTTTGGCCACTGCAATGCTGCACAGGTGCATAAAGGGTTCGGTAGTAACGGAGGGGCAAGGGGAGGGATGTGACTTGTCCTGCAGGAAGGGGATCTTCTTGATCGAGAGGAGCACCTCGTTGTACCTGCGGCCGAAGGACTGGGTGGCTGCTTTGGCCACTGATATTCTGCACGGGTGCATGAGGGGGTTAAAAGGCAAGGGGGCAGGGATAGGAAGGGAGGGGGCTTGTCCTGCAGGAAGGGGATCGACTTGACCGCCAGGAGCACCTCATCGTAGCTGCGGCCGAAGAGCTGGGCGACGGCCTTGGCCACTGCTATTCTGCATGGGTGCATGAGGGGTCAGGCAGGGACGGAAGGGGTAAGGGAAGGGATGTGACTTGTCCAGCAGGAAGAGGTTTTGCTTGACTTGTCATTGCTGCAACCCAAGAGCTGGGCGATGCTATCCTGGGAGGGCCGAGAGGATGGGGAGGGAGAGGGAGAGGGAAGCTGATCTTCTTGATCGATAGCAGCACCGCGTCTTAGCTGCGACCAAACTGCTGGGCGACTGACTTGGCGACTGCTATGATGGGAGGGGGCAGAGGGTGGGGAAGATGGGGAAGTAGGGACAGAGACGAAAGGGTGGGCATGTCGATGTGGGGTTGGAGGGGGAGAGATGATGGGATGGAGCGCGAGAATTGGGAGGGCATGCGGCTGATGAGAAGGCGGCACCGGCACATCTGGCTTAATGTCATAACATGGGGTATCACTGCAGTGTCTGGACACACAGTATGGATGCTGCATAGAATGGTGCACCATGAATACCAGCGCATGGGTTAGCGTAACCTGGTTACCATGACATGGCAGCACGCACCCACAGAGGATGGGAAGAAGCAGGCTGATGTCTCCTGATGCCTCCATCAACATCACCTGCACACACAGGTTGACACACACATGCACACACTCTCACACACACATGCACACACTCTCTCACACACATGGACACACTCTCACACACACATGCACACACTCTCTCACACACATGGACACACTCTCTCACACACATGGACACACATGGACACACACAAACACACACACATACACACACATTCACACACATGGACACACACACACACACACACACATGGACGCACACGCACACACACACAGACGTGGACACACACACACACACACGGACGGACACACACACACACACACACACACACACACACA